TTCATGTCGTGTATCCTATCTTATTCATGTACATTATTAGTATATATGTTGTTAGATGTATATAGTAGGCGGAATTGGTTGATGTATATTTTGGATTGGATGGTTGGATTTGTGCATTGTGTTGAATTTGATTGTATTTGGTTTTGAATGGAATTGTTATGAATTTTGCTTATATTTGGATGATTGGATGTATTCATGTGTACAGTATTTATTGGATGTATTCATATATTAATGTAATTATATAGGAAAATACAAATTGTAATTAATTTTTTTTGCTAAAAAAATATCAACATAGATGGAATTCTGTCTAGGGTGAGGAAACATAGACGAAATTCCGTCTAGGTTGTCATAATCAACCTAGACGGAATTCCGTCTAGGTTGACTCATCCTAGACGGATGTCCGTCTAGGATCAACCTAGACGGAATTTCCGTCTAGGTTGACTCATCCTAGACGGATGTCCGTCTAGGATCAACCTAGACAGATTTCTTATTTTTGTCTAGGTGACATCCATTTAGATTGATCAATCCAGATAGAATTCCGTCTAGTTTGAGTCAATATAGACGGAAGCAAAATAAACAGACCTAACTAGACGGAATTCCGTCTAGTTGAACTAACCAAAACGGGATTTGGAGCAACCTAGACGGAAATTTCCGTCTAGATTGCTCGTTTTTCTACTAGTGTGTTAGATCTGATCGTGGTGGTGAGTACTACGACAGATATGATGGTTCAAGTGAACAATGTTCAGGGTCATTTGCTAGATACATAGAGGAATGTGGTATCGTCCCACAGTACACCATGTCGGGGTCACCTAGCTTGAATGGTGTAGCTGAAAGACGAAATATGACTCTTAAGAATATGGTAAGAAGTATGATTGCTCATTCTTTTTTATCAGAGTCACTCTAGGGAGAAACACTAAAGACAACAGCTTACATTCTGAATAGAGTACCAAGTAAAGTAGTTTTTAAAACACCTTATAAGCTTTGGACTGGTCGAAAGCCTAGATTAAAGCACTTACATATTTGGGGATGTCCAGCTGAGGCAAAGCCTTATAGGCCAAATGAAAAGAAATTTGACTCCAAAACAGTTAGCAGCTACTTCATTGGGTATTCTAAATGTTCTAAGGGCTATAAATTCTATGTTTAACACTCGTGAATGTTTTTGAGACGGGAACAACTACATTCTTTGAGGATGGTGAGTTTGAGGGGAGAAATAAAGTTAGAAACATTGCTTTTGAGGAGAAATTGGTTTTAGACCCCATCCATACAGTCACTTTTGACGATATTCAGGTTCATATACCTGTTATTGATCAAGAAGTGAATATGGAACCTTAAGAAGATAATGTTGAACAACTCTCTATTCCAGAAGAACAAACTCAACAACCTCAAGAACCAGTGTCATTACAGAGATCCACGAAAGAAAGGAGAAACGCTATTCCGGATGATTATATTGTATTTCTCCAAGAACATGAGGAAAATAATGAAATGTTAGAAGATAATCCAATCAACTTTCTTCAAGTCATGACAAGTTCTACCTCTTAAAAGTGGATTAATGCCATGAATGAAGAGTACAAGTCTATGCAAGACAATAAGGTTTGGGAACTTGTCTCATTGCCATAAGGTGCAAAACCAATTGGTTGTAAATAGAAATTTAAAATCAAACTGGATACAAATGGTAATGTGGAGAGGTATAAATCACGTCTTGTAGCTAAAGGATATACTCAAAAGGAAGACATTGATTATACAGAGACTTTCTCTCTAGTTTTATCAAAAGACTCTTTCAGAACAATCATAACGCTTGTTGCTCACCTTGATCTTGAGGTACATCAGATGGATGTTAAGATTGTATTTTTCAATAGAGACATTGATGAAATGATCTATATGGTATAACCAGAAAACTTTGTGTCAGGTGACCCAAAGAATATGGTTTGCAAATTAAGAAAATCCATCTATAGACTCAAGCAAGTTCCTCGTCAATGGTATTACAAGTTTTAACAAATAATTATCTCATTTGGTTTTGAGATGAATATTATTGATGACTGTGTATATCACAAGTTCAGTGGGAGTAAGTATATTTTTCTGATTCTGTATGTCGATGACATATTGCTTGCCACTAATGATATAGGCATGTTGCAGGAAAACAAGAGATTTTTATCAAAGAATTTTGAAATGAAAGATCTTGGGGACGCATCTTTTATATTAGGAATCCAGATACATCAAGATTGTTCTCAAGATATACTCAAAATTACAAGATTGCAGACCAGGTGGTACCCCTGTTGCTAAAGGAGACTAGTTTAGTCTCAATCAGCGCTTAAAGGTAACCTTGAAATTTAGGAAATGCAGAAGATTCTTTATGCTTCAGCTGTAGGAAGTCTAATGTATGCTCAGGTGTATACGCGTCCGGATATTACGTACATTGTTGGGATGTTAGGCAGATACTTAAGCAACCCTAGTATGAATCATTGGATAGCAGTCAAAAGGGTTATGAGGTATCTTCAGAAAATAAAAGATTATATGCTCACATACAGAAAATCAGATCAGTTGGAGGTCATTGGATACTCTGATTCTGATTTTGTTGGATGCCAAGATAACAGAAAGTCTACATCAGACTACATTTATATGTTAGTAGGAGGAGCTATATCATGAAAAAGTGTCAAACAGACATTCGTAACTTCCTCCTCTATGGCAGTAGAATTTGTAGATTGCTATGAGGCATCCAATCATGGAATATAGTTGTGAAATTTTATCACTGGACTGCACATTCTGGAAAATGTTGAAAGACCACTTAAGTTGTTTTGTGATAATAAATCAGCAGTTATATATTCCAATAACAACATGAGCTCAACTAAGTCAAAACATATTGACGTTAAGTTCCTGGTTATGAAAGAAAGGGTACAGAATGAACATATTTCCATAGAGCACATTGGGACAAACTCCATGATAGCAAATCCTTTTACTAAAGGATTGCCACCCAATGTCTTTTATGAGCACATTGCTCATATGGGTGTGGTATTATTCGAGGATATCATGATTTAGTGGGAGTTTGTAATTTTCTGGTGTTTTGTGTTTGGTTAAATTGTCTGATCAGAATAAAGTATTCAGTTAAGACACTCTGTTTTATTATGTTTGGTTTTGACCTCACTAAAGTTTAAGGTAGGGCCAGTTGAAAATAGACATATACTGATTACATTGCATGTAATTTTTATGCTTCACATCCATGATTGATGTATGTCATTTGACTGTATTGGTATATGTGACCAATGATGGGTTTAGTCACGATAAATGTGATGAATGCCGCTTTGATTCTATATTGATATTGTCAATGGACGAGATTGTTTAGAAATACCCTTATTTGTGATAGCAATTTCTGAGCTCATAAGGTTGTACATATTTTTTATGAAACATATAGTGCCCAAGTGGGAGATTATTGGATTAAATTTATTTATGGGTATATATGTTACATTAGTGTATAATACTATCTTTAAGGTTAACCAGCATAAAGTGATCAATAAATTTGGGTTAATATGTATTTAAATAATTCATGGGCTAAATGTGCGGATAACAGGTTGTAATTATAATTTGATGATGGGTCAAATTATAAAAGAACAACAACTATAATTAAGGGGTTATGGTCCCTAATATAGGATTACATTCTCTAATTCTCTTCACCCCCCTCAAGATAGAAATGCGGCTAGAGAGACCCTCAAGATTAGAAGATCATCAAAAAACTCTAATTCAGATCCGTGCAATGGATTCAGGTATAGCTTCGCGCGCTCATTGTTGTTTTAATCTCTTTGAATTAATCATGGTATTATGGGTTAGATCTTAGTTTTAGATCTAACATAATGAAGAAGAGCTGATGCATGTTGTGGCCAAGCTACTTGTTTCAGTCACTTTTATCGATGCCAATAAACAAATTCCGTCAGCATACGGGGTTTTGTATGCCTGATGCACCTGCTATCTCGTTGTCCATTCTACTTGGATTGTCAATTGTTATTCCTTTTCATATTGCACCATGCATACTGAACGCTCATAAACTTGCAGGTGGGTTTTTTCCCTTAATGATTGCGGGTTCGATTTGAACCATCTGGCTGCTCCTGTGGGATACGAAATAAAACTGAAATTTTATGATGTCATAATCCTGTAGTTTTTGTCTTTTTTGGACTGAGCCCGAGGAATTGCTATGAGTCTGAGACTAAATGCATTTTATTACGTATTTCTCCCTTGATATGTTTTCTTTGACACCCTTTTTCGTAATTGCAGATTTTATCTTTGGAATGATAAAGCAGATGGTCAGACCTCAAGTATTTATCATTTCCCTCAGATTTTATCCCTGTTACCAGTGCATGTTTTCCTGCTGCTGCTATCACTGGTCTGCGCTCAAAGACCAAGTATGAGCATTGTGGTAACTGATATGCAAGAATAAGCTGTTTCTCCTATATCTGCAAACTGCGCAACAGGCAATGTCAGTTGCGTATGCGTAAATTATTTGCAGTTTTTTTTTTCTCTCTCTTCTTTCTAACAAGCCTTATGTAATGGATTTTATCTCCACACTCTTGTAAAATATCAAACTCACGGTGAGTAAGGAGCCGGCCATGGCTGAAGCAACAAACCAGAACAGAATCATGGATTTGTAAGAAATGCAACACGGCATTCGCTCAGAACTGCAGCTGTTGACGAGTTAGCTTTGGCTCGTTTTGCGGGAACATATCCAATGAGAACATTCATCTTGGAAAATGCACAGTGAGGACAATTGAAATGTCATGGTCTCATCACGACCCTTTCTAAAAGGACCTTGTGGTTTGTCAAAGAAAATGAATACATAGCAATTATTGACATAAACAATGAAAATGGCTTCTCTGCTAATGATTTTGTTTGCTCGTTTTACCCTAGCCTGAACAGCTACACGAGAAGTATTAACAAAACTAAATTACAAAGAGAAACATACAAGAGAAATGAATGAAACATAATCAAAAAGTTGTCCAAAAGGGTCAGTAGTTACGTGGTTAAACTGAATTGAATAGCTCTCAATGCTGATGTCCAAAAGTATTAACACCCAAAAAGTTTAATTCATAATACCAAACAATTAACAAGACAAATTTTGCTTCCATACCCAAACAACAAAACAAGAGCCATTGATCTTACAGAAGATCTGCAATTTCTCAAAAAACTGAATATGTACCAACTGCAGTAAATACTGATACTAACATTTAATTCATGCTCCCTCCATATATTATATAACAAGAACTAACAATAAGCTAGTCTAACTCTGGGCCTCTCACTCCATTAAAGCATTGCTGCTATCACCCGTACTCTCCCTTTGGTTCTGAGAAGAAACGGTTCCTCTCATTCTGAGATCAGCTGGTGGCTGCTGCTGCTGCTGTTGAATCTGATGCTGATGCTGAGGACGTATTTGCAGTTGCTGAAGTTGGTGGGCTGCCAATAGTGACTGCATTGACTGGTTCTGATTTTGATGATAGAATTGTTGATTACCTCCAAACGACGATTGTCCAAAATTCATCATTGGTCCATTTGGCATCATTTGTCCAGTTGCCACTTTCAATCGCTGAACCTCCTCCCTTAGAGCATCATTAAGAGCTATATAGCAACAGAGAAATATCAGGCTAGGAAGCAAGTGAGATTGCAAATTGATGAATTCTCAAATACAATGCGGTAGATCCTAGAACAGATTGGTATGAAAAAAGATTCCTTAATGCAACAGACCATTTAAAGAGTGCAGTCCCATAAGTTGATTTTATAAAAGCAAAGGGATGAGTTTCAGTTTAGGTTGTCAGCTGGTGGCTGCTGCTGCTGCTGTTGAATCTGATGCTGATGCTGAGGACGTATTTGCAGTTGCTGAAGTTGGTGGGCTGCCAATAGTGACTGCATTGACTGGTTCTGATTTTGATGATAGAATTGTTGATTACCTCCAAACGACGATTGTCCAAAATTCATCATTGGTCCATTTGGCATCATTTGTCCAGTTGCCACTTTCAATCGCTGAACCTCCTCCCTTAGAGCATCATTAAGAGCTATATAGCAACAGAGAAATATCAGGCTAGGAAGCAAGTGAGATTGCAAATTGATGAATTCTCAAATACAATGCGGTAGATCCTAGAACAGATTGGTATGAAAAAAGATTCCTTAATGCAACAGACCATTTAAAGAGTGCAGTCCCATAAGTTGATTTTATAAAAGCAAAGGGATGAGTTTCAGTTTAGGTTGTGCATCAACCTGGTGGAAGAAAACTATAAATTAAAGGAGAAACAGTTTCAGTTGTGCATACAACTCTGAGTAGATGTCAAGATAACACGAGTATTTCTTAAGTCAATACCTTTAGTAAATTGTGATGTCATCTTTTTTAGCTGGTGACTAGCGCACATATTCAACGAAACTATATAAAAATGTTTGGCTTGTAGTTAAATTACAATATCAAACCATCAAGACTGAGTCCAATGTAATTGTAAAACTAATTTCAATTACAGTTCATGGCGCATGTCAAAGAAAAACTCGCTAGTTAGGTACGAGAACTACCACATTTAGGATGGTTCTCTAGGGAATGAAGAGGAAATGGGTCAAATTTGCTGGAATGAAGATTATTACTTAACTCCTCTCATAATTAGCTATTTTTTAATCCATTATTATGCATTAAATTTATACATTAGCATTGGCCATTTGATGGAATAAATAAAATAAATTTTTAAAGATGATAAATTAAGTAATACTATCACAATAAATTAAGTAATACTATTACTCATGTATTTGATAAACTCTCATCTGTAGATGTAAATCCAAGTTTGTGCGTCATTTAGATTCATTCTCGAACCATCAAATCTTCAAGTTCACAATGAATAGTCCAAGTCTATGAGCAGTCCGTGTACAGCTCAGGTCCATATCTTTGGATAAAACTCCTACCCTCGCAAAAATATTGTACTCGCTACAGTTCTTGTAACAAAAGTTAGTTCTAGATCAGCTGGGAGAACACCACACAACTACAAAAACATGTAGAAAGGTGTAACACAGCAACTTTACATCCTAAAGATTATATATTAAAAACTGCATTATTGGGGAAGGTAATGGAAGGCACAAAAGTAATGAAATTAGAAACACAAAATATTATCAAGAACCTTACCATCCTGCAAGTGAACTTGTTGCTCCATCGTTTGTAACCGCAACTTCAACTCACTATTTTCAGCAGTGAGACCAGTTGTATCTCTCTGTCATTTGCAACAAATAATTCTTTAAGCAAAGATGTAAACTAAAGTTCAGTATTAACAAAGGTGAAGATCAGAGCAGAAATGCACTATAGACTATTGACTCGTCAGTTAGTATAACAGAACTGGTATTATGCTTCATATCTCTGCATCCTCAAAAAGGATGAGTTGCGAAGAAAATCTAACCAAAAACAAGATAAGAAAAGGATAAGTACAGGTCCAGATCTACATGAGACTCGTGAATATATGTAACATGTCATTCGATGGTTAGCAGGGAACTATCCTTGTCTATAAAACAATTACGAGTCAAGTGGATAAATAATATTTGCCAACTTCAAAAGATGGACTCTATATTCATGAATATGTATGTAAATAACTAAATATTTTTCTATTCACTTAAATTCGAATATGAACACGGTTCCAAGGTTTTAAATGTCAGCCAACATGTACGACATGTCAACCGACATGTCGGTTTGAGAGCTTGAGCGACACGACATGGGCGTTTTCAACTCGTATGTCAGTTTTCAGGGCCAATTAAAAATATCAGGGCCATATCGGGCATATCGGCCTATTTTTTAAAAAGTCGGCCAATATGGCCCTTTTCTTAGATCTGTTTTTTGTTATTAGGTTTGGGTTTAGTGATAAAAACCCAAATCCGTTTGACACGTTCTCATTTTTAAGGGTTTCTTATGAACCCGATAGAAAGAAAAGAGAAAAATTAGGGCTACAGCGGACTTGGGAACCGATCACTCCTTTCGTGAACGACGACACCATTCTCCCACCTTCATCTCGGACCCTCGTCGTCCATCTCCCGTTGCGCCCCGAAATCCGAACCCAACCGAACCCGAAGGCGGCGGGGTATCCCGTCGTCAGAATAAAGGGAAGAGAGTGGTCGGTGACTCATCCGAATGACCCCGAGCAAACAAAGAAGATGAAGAGCCCCGGTATTGCCTCCCTGCGACGTCCCGTCGCCTGCACTGCCTCCCTGCGACGTCGGAATTCACCCATCGCTGGCATCGCCTCTAGAATTTATAAAGTATGTTTATATTGAATTTAGGAATGCTTAGATTACATTTAGGACATGATATTATACATATGCACACCACCCGATATGGCAATCCAATATTTAGTCCATATCCCCCGATATACCCCCGATTTCCGCTATCCGGCGTGGATTTCAACCGTCTGACATGAACCCGACATCCGACATTTAAAACCTTGCATGGTACTCTTTAAAAACTTGTTACCTAATACATTTGAACCTTACAATGCCTATTACTAGCCAGTAGCCACTAGGAGTTGAGATGTCCCACTAGTAGTTAACATGAAGAATCGAAGATAGAATCTCTTTATCTCTTAATTATCAAGTGGAGCGCATATTATAACGTCTTTGTTGCATTACTTGATGATACCATCATTAGTTAATATAAGGATTACACATGGCCACTTGTCTTCGTACATAATTTACTAAATATGATGTCGTCGTGCATTCACATTCATACTTGAGGTGGGGAAAAAATGAATTACATTTAATATTGATATCCACTCTGTTTTCGTTACTCTCTCTCTTAAGTTGCTAAAAGGCCAGAGCAAGGTTTTAAATATCGGATGTCGGGTTCATGTCGGACGGCTGAAATCCATGTCGGATAGCGGAAATCGGGGATATATCGGGGGACATGGACTAAATATCGGATTGCCATATCGGGTGATCCACATATGTATAATATCATGCCCTAAATGTAATCTAACTATCTAAGCATTCCTAAATTCATAACTTCATGACTCTGCACATTTCAACATTCATATGCACATTTAAAATAAAATAAATCTCTCCTTATTAATCAATAATCATTAGCCTATTATTAATCAGTTAGCCTATTATTAATCAAGTGATCAAACATCAAGTAATCATTAGCCTATTATTAATCAAAATAGTCCACAAACCAAACATTCACGTGTGAAGAAGAAAAAAAGAAAAAACAGGAAAATCGGCCGATATGGCCGATTTTCCAAACAAGAAAATCGGCCGATATGGCCGATTTTTCGCCGATATGGCCGATATGTCGGGAAAAAACGATATGCGACTTGTTTTTCCCCGATTTGTGTCGTTGGACCCCTCAATCCGCTATATCGGCCGACATGTCCGACATGTCGGCCGATATTTAAAACACTGGGCCAGAGGATGGATAGATATTGCATGATATTCTCTATCTATTAAGATACACCACTAATTCTTCTTCCCCGTGATGGGGAGTGGGTTTTCTAGTTTCTCATCTTTTACTTCCAATTTTCCATAGGCTTTGTTGTTGTTGCTGCTACTGTTGTTATTGTTGCTGTTGTTGTCATTGTTGTTGTCGTCGTCGTTGTTCTCGCAAGAAAAAGAAGGCACAGGAAGCTATTTGGCTTTGTTAGGTATGAGGTTGTGGAAGTTTTTTTTTTCAGTTGAGTAGGATTCTTTAGTAGCACTAAAAACAAAATGAAGCTGCACCTTCTCCAAAACGTGGAGACGAATAGTCTTCTGAACCGTATTGTAAACAAATATCTTCGATGTGACCCTACTTTCTATGAAATATATAAATTTTCTCAAGACATCTACTTTTCCAAATTTTTCAGCAACAAAAAAATAACTTTAGTTTCAGAATAGAAGTGATGAAACAAGTGCCTGAATTCCAACATCAATGCTGCTTAAACAAGTTTCAAAATCTGTAGAAATTAAGGTTATTTTTTGGAACAAAGTTGACTTAGAAGATGTACTATAAGAGTGAGAGATATGTACCTGTAACATTGTCAATTGGGCTGACAAAGTTGTTGCTTCTGTTTGCAGTGTCTGCACCTTCCGCTCGAGCTCTGCAATGTAGCGCATCTTCCTTTCTTTTGACCGTGCAGCTGACTGCCTGTTTGCCCAAATTCTACAATATGCCAACAGATTAATTCTTAGTACAATAAATTTACAGAAAAGGAGAGAAGCATCTGTACACATGAAACCAGACAAATTTCAATACCATAGGAGTATCATACAATAATCATGATTAAGTGTAGCTGCACCACTTGGAATTTGAACAGCTGAGAGCTGACTATGGTCCTTATCACAATGTTTTCACAAAACACATGATTACTAGTGGAAAAGGAAGCATAAATAGAGAAGAACACAGTGGCATTTTCTGCCAATTTGTGACATATTAAATAATGTTTAATATTAAACTGCTTTGAGTCAAGTAATTACAGAACAATAGGGATTGAAGACAAAATGCCAAATTGTTTATCTAGGCTCCGTTTGGATACCATAGTGTTTTACTTGTATCCATGGTGTTTTTGCCAAAAACAAAACACAATACGTTTGAAAACCATGGTGTTTTTTGACCTAAATAATCCTCAAATAAAAAACACAACACTTATTTCAAAAACACATTTTAGGTGTTATAAGTCTGGTGTTCTGGTTGAGTTTGAGGTGTTAATATAATATCTAATATAATGTATTAAATATCATTAATATATAGTTATTATCAACATTCTTATTATTATATTATATTATACTATACTATATTATAGTTAATCTAATACATTAGTAATATTTATTAAATTATATAAAAATATAACAATCAAAATATCTTATATAATAATATAGTAACATATTAAATGCTAATATTTAATATGTTGCTATAATCACTGTTTTAAAAAGTGTCCGTCTAGGCGTACGCCTAGGCCTAGGCAGTACCTAGGCTGCCTACCTAGATTTTATGAGTGTTTAGGGGTGTATTGTCTGCTTACGTGGGCAGCACCCTTTAGGCCTTGATCGTGATTTTCTATATTGCAGCCTCCACGTCTTCCAACCTCCTTCAAACTCCTTTTAACTTCCAAATACCAACACCTCCATTATCTCCACCAACCTTTAGCAAAATCTCCTCGACCAACACTTGAATGAAGAAAGAAATCTGCCTAGACGTTAGTCCGGCACCTAAGCTTTCTACAACATTTACGTTTACTATCAATTATTGTAATTAAAAAGAAAAAAGAAAACTCCTAGGCTCTAGGCATCAAGTCCAATGCTTAGGCCTCCTAACGCTTTCAATAACCTTATTAGTTATTATTTTGGCTATTTAGTATTTAAATATGCATGGTTTATTATGGATCTAAGATTGCTATTTTTTAACAAAATCAATGAATTTAACACATATGTTTATTAATTATTATAATTAAATAATTTAAAAAATAGCCAAACACCTAGACGTTGCCTAGGTGTCTAGGCAATGGCTCAAACGCCTAAACTGCCTAGCACCTTCTGTAACATATGTATTATATAATAATAAATAATAATAATATATAAATAAACTAATAATAAATGATAATATAATAATAATATAATAATATACTATAAAATATTAAAATATTAATATATTATATAATAAATAATATAATATATTATAAAGTAAAATAATTTTTAATACTAAAATAATTTATTGCTAACAAATGTTAATATAAAAATAATATGTTCATAATGTAATATTTATTTATATCATAAATTATTAATATATTATTAAAGTACTATTAATAAACTCTATAAATTAGTTTGTTTGCATCCTGCTCAATTACTAATACAACTACTAACAGTAACACTTAAGCAAGTGGAAACATGAAATTCAGGCAAGGTCAAAAGTCAAGTGCTGATAGAAAGACCGAAGCAACAGGATGTGGGCAACTGGAAGGAAATAGTTATGGAAGAGGAATGCACCAAATGTTGCAAGGTTCACAGAAGGACTGACAGAAGTGACCGAGCTGTTAGTCACATTGGTAATGTTGGTCTTCCTTTGTTATATAGAAACTTAAACCAGAGGCCCACAATGCTGGGTTCCTAATCTTCAAATTGGAGCTATCAATTCATTACTGAATGCCTTTCGCAGTCATGCACATAGTTCTCCAGCCCAAAAATGTAACACCATCTGACATCTGTGATAAATTACAGATTGATAATCAACAGGAAAATTTGGTCAGCCTTTCCACGTAGATGGTCACAATTTAGATTTGTGCTCCAAATCTATAAAAGATGAAGAACTAGAACTGGGATATGTTGGCAATTGTCAGGAAAAACAATTACAGAAAAAGACAAGACCATTGGTCTCAATAACTATAGTTCAGCTGTCACACTGTTAATAGGTTCTATTTCTCATAAACGTTACCAATAAGAGGAAACATATGATTAAAGGCAAATTTAAGAAAGAATTCAGTGCATCAAAATGTAATACCACCTTCAAATAAACTATACTGGACAATCCTATTAAATTCTTGGCAGCATAAATATGTTGATAAGGTTGCAAATTTTATGGTCAAGGAGTACCCAATGGATACTTTAGTATTGCAAGGTTTAAGGACACCATTCATCAATAGTTGTTAAGGTAGACCTAATTGCTCCAATAATCAGATGTAACATACATCATACTGACACCAAAAGCTTGTCAGGTGATAACCAACAAAGATGATATATATAATATGAAAATACTATCATTTCAAGCTCAAATTCTACAATATCTAGGATTCTAGGATCCATGTCCTGTCAGAACTCCATGGAGAAAAAGGTTAAGCTGCCACTAGCAACAAAAGAAAAAAGCTTTTTGCACATAATATTGAACTTGTTGACATCATCATAAAAAGAAGTGTCCCCATTCCCTCCATTTTGCCCCTTCTTTTCCCTCTCCATCTCTTATGACAGTTGAATCTACCGGCTGAATGGACAGAAAAGATTGAC